CCCGGAACTTGTATCGCCGTTTTCCGGGGCACCGATGTGGTTACAAAATTTTTTTTTGAGGTTACAAAATATTACATAATAAATAACATAATACCACACAGTTTTCAAGTCGAAATTTTAATTATTTAATGTTTGGGGTGCTGGGGTAACGTTACCCTGGCACCCGGAACTTGTATCGCCGTTTTCCGGGGCACCGATGTGGTTACAAAATTTTTTTTTGCGGTTACAAAATGTTACATAATAAATAACATAATACCACACAGTTTTCAAGTCAAAATGTTGAACTTGGGGTGCCAAGGTAACACACCTGTTTTTTAACCCAGCAGAAGTTATTGACAGTATTGATTTTTGTCTGACGAATGAGGATTATGATTTGTTATTAATTAATCTAATTAGAGAAACTCATTTTCGTTCAATTTGGAGTGAAGATTGGATCAACAAATTTACTGCTAGAGATTTTCACAAATTATTTAGAATGACACAAGATACATATGGAAATCTATTAACAGCATTAAGTGTCAATTCTGAATTAATAAAACCATACACAGGAGGAAATAAGCCTGTCTCATTTCATAAAAAAGTTCTTATAAGTCTCTGGTATTATGGTAGAGAAATGTCTATGCATGCAATTGGTAACCAGTTCGATACTGCAACTTCAACTATTTATAATATTGTTCAAGAAGTCACTGATTGTCTTTGTAATAGTATGGCTAAAAAATGTATCACTTGGCCCAACATTAAAGAATGTACAATAATTGAAGAAGGATTTAGAGTGAGAGCTAATTTTCCTAGTAAGTTAAATAAAAATTTTGATTATATTACAATATTACATATTGTCAACTTACTGCCAAAACTCATTAAACTCACTAATATACAGCAAAGCGTTTTCACATTTATTGTTTGTAACTTTTGTAGATGTCATTGGTGCGATTGATGGTTGTCATATTTCTGTAAAAGTTCCATCTTCAGAACAAGACAGCTACACAAACAGAAAGATGACCAAAAGTATTATTGTTCAAGCAATTTGTACATCCAACAAGATATTTACAAATATTTGTGTTGGGTATCCAGGTCGTGTTCATGATGCTCGGGTGTTTAAAAATTCTGAAATATTCAGTATTATGCAAAATGAAGGGCCAAGCTCTTTATTCTATGACAAATATTATTTATTGGGTGACTCAGCTTATCCAAACTTATCATGGCTTATAACTCCATATAAAAATTATGGAAATCTATCAGCAAGAAAAAGGAAATGGAACTATTTTCATTCTCAAACAAGGGTCGACATTGAATTAAGTTTTGGACTACTTAAAGGAAGATGGCGTAGATTATTATACCTGAATGTCACAAATATTTCAAGAGCCCCTAACATAATCCTTGCATGTTGTGTATTACATAACTTTTGTTTGGTGAATGATGATGAATTAGATGAGATTGTTAATGATGTCCAGCTAGATTACACTTCTCAAACTGATATACAAAATGCAATATATGGAACTGAATCAGGCAATGCAAAAAGAGATAAACTATTAAACATTCTAGTTCCCTAGTGTAGGAAACCTCTCCATCTAGATATATGTTTTAACTGTTTATACATTTTTATATATAATTATATACTTACATTTATACTTAACATGAATATTTTTTTTCTTTATACATCTCTCTTCATATAAGTATAAATAGGAATACAGTGAAACCTCTAAATACCTGACACTCACAGTCGTTGTGATTTTGTCTGTTATTTAGAGTAGTTCGTTAATGGAAGTTTCACTGTATAAAAATATACAGAAATCAAGAGATCAAGATCTATTAAATATTTAGTTTATAACAACAGTTTATTTTTATTTATATATTAATTAAAATTTAACACTTTATAACAAATTAATAAAACATAAAAACATCCTAACATTAAAAGTTCCACTGACTTAGAGCAAACTATCTTGCAAATTTATAATCTAAAAAATGTAAAACAAAAAAAATAATACAGTAACTTTGATATCACTCCCTTAGAGATCATTAAAAAAAAGAATAAAAGAACATATTTAATTAATCAGAATCAGATCTTCTACGTTTCTTCCTAGTGGTATTTTCTACTAGCTTAGCAAATATATTTAACATTTCTTGTCTTTGATTATTTTGTATAATCATATTTTCTTTGATATGTTCATAATGTTTTTCCTGCATGTCGAGAACTTCTTTATGCTGTTTGGTCATGTGATCCAATATATCGGATGGACTCACTTTAGATTTTGGTTTAAGACTTTTTTTGGGGGTTTTATGCATACCTTTTGTTATAATTGGATTAGCTATTTCAAAGTTAACTATATCAGCCTATGAAGTACTTTCTAAAGTATTATTCAATGGAGTTATTATTGTACTAGTTGCCTTAAGAGTGTCTAGCAATGTGGGTGGGGAGACCTTATGTTTATCTTTGATGGCATGCATAACATCATAATACATTGGCTTTTTTTTTTGCAGCTTCTCCTGTTTTATTTGCATTATCTTTAAAAGCAATGTATTTATTTTCCAAGTTCCTCCACTTCTGATCGCATTTTTTACCACTTTCCTTTTCATTTGCAGCCACTTTGTAACCCAGGTTATGTAGTTCAATACTGATATCTTGCCAAACTTTATACTTTGGTGTTCTTTTATCTTTTAATTTTTGTTGATAAAGATCAGAAGTCACTATTTCAATAAACTTTTCAGTAGCTTCGTTGTCTCGTGGTGTTGAACGGTATGTTGGCCAAATAAAGTCTAAAAAAAAATACTTTCTTAATTAAATAAAAAAAAACAATAAAATACTAAGTTCAATAAAATATAGTAATAATAAGTAATATCTATCAATTAGGGAACAGAAATATTTAGGTTAAAAATGCATTATTATCTGTTATTATGTTTCCTATGAAATAATAAGGGCCACTGATCCTTTTAATTTTCTGTTTAATAGTTACAGTGATTTAAACTTTAAATGATCATCTCACATCTAATACATTATTTAACAAATCTAACTAATATTGTTGAGTGACACTATTTTGTATAATGACAGCAGACACAGGAAGATCGTACATTTCTATAGGTACAATATTTAAGGTCTGCATAATACTCATCAAATACCGTAAATTTTTTTTATTACATAAAAAAGGAATCTAGACATACAGGCAAAAATACAGTATCTTGCTATTTACCTGAATCAACTTGAGTGTTGCAATCATCATCATTATCGTCATGACTGGTGTTAAGGTTCCCACATGTTCCTAAAATTATTTAAAAAAAAACATTTGTTGAGAAACTTATATTTAAGAAGTTCCACCTTTTATTCAATATTATGATTTATGACTATAGTCTGGAATTATATGTATTAAAAACGTACAAAATATGCATGCATTTATGCACTGATTATCATTCAAATATTCACTACATGTACAATATGTAAACAAAAATGCATTTTCTAAATTACATTAAGAGCAGCAGAAATACGTGTAGGTATGTAGTTGGAATGGTAGTATTATATGAATATTACACAATTGTATGCATATTTTTTTAAAATAAAACGTATACCAGATCTATTGATCATAATTCAAACTTATAGCTTATGTAGCACCTTTTTGTGACTGTTAAAAAAAAACATGCAAATGTATATAAATCCGAGCCCTATTAATGTATTATACATAATGTTCTAAATAAATTCAAAATAATTTCATCTTTTAACTAAATTTGCATTTATAGATTATAGTCCAGACTGGATAAAAATTAGAATGTACTTCTGATTAAGTAATAATACATGCTTACAGTCTTATGCGGTCATTGACTCATTCATAATTCTGTCACAATTTATATTATTCATATATGATATATTGATATTTACCTATTTCATCATCGCTGTCATCTAAATTACTAAATACATTTTTAATCTTAATTTTTTCAATAATTTCATTTTGGTTTTTTTGACATTCAACACTAGGAATAACCACTCCATGCGAGCTCAAAACTAACATTAACATATACCCAGTCATGACTTCCTTCTGTAAAATGTGTATTATTAATTGGTATATTAAATTCATTCAACAATTTATATTTTATTATTTTAAATACAAATAACAGTGACATATCCAAGGGGGGGGGGCACTCGTCCGGGATTCATAGTTAGTATATACATGGTGGTACTGCTGCCTTTATTTTTTTTTTTTACTTAGCTTCACAACACTACTGTAAATATAATTATTATTCATACATACCTGGTGTTAATACTTCACACAATACTTCATTTGCGTTGTTTTCATGATTAATTGGAATGTCATCTTCATTCAAAACCAGTTTTACAAATTTTAGTGCTTTACAGTCCGACATTTTTGTAAACACTTTTTATATAAATTGTTTGTATTAAAAACCTAACCTAAAGAGCAACTATACAAGTTTACTGTAAAACAACAATTCTACAAGACGTTTCACGTTAACAACTAAACACGTCGGAAAATGCAAATTGCTAATAGGCATTGGCCATGGCTAAATGGCAAATGCAATATTATGCAAATTGGAAAAATTGAAAATGGTACTTATTCAATAATAATAACCTCTTTTATCAAATGATCGTATGTATTATCAAAGGTACCAAAAGCACTAAGCTACTTGAAATAGTCGTTTAGTGATAGGACCAAACATTTTAGTAAACAGTAAACAGTTTTGACAAAAAATTATCGCCAAAACAGATTTTAGTAAACTGTTTGCTCTCGGTACCTCCGCTAAAACGCGCTTATAGTATCACCTATAATCTATGTTAAATATAATAATTCTAATTTCTTAATCAACTAAATAAAGTATAAATAATATAAGTATAAAATAAAAAGTCATTACAATAAATACAAATTAGGTTAGGTTAGTCTTTTGATTTATGTCTTTTATGGCTTTTCGGTAAATCTAATAATACTGTTGAATTACGTTTTGTAGGTAGCAGTGTTAAACCATTTTTCTTCATAACCATTTCACTCATTTTATTATGGACATTATTTAAAGTATCTAGTTCTTTTGACCATTCTGGATGTTGATTTTCGTCTATGATGTAAGTTAAATCTATCATTTTTTTTGAGCAATTCTCGACATTGAGCTGGTATGTTTGAAATATTTCCACTAGTTGTTAATTCCAAGTCAGAACTTGGATTTACAGAGGTATTTATAGTGACATTTTCATTTTTTTCATTCAAAACTGTAACTTTGTTTATAATTAATTGATCTGTATTATTAGTAATTGAATACCGAGGATCAGGTGAAATGAAAACATTATTTTGGAATATTTGTGGTAAATCTTCAAATGAACATCCTGGTACATAAATAAATAATGCGCATATATGTTTACACGGCCAATGATACTTGTTGAAATCCAAACATGTACAACTTGGTAATTGAAAATTTACCATGTATAAGGTAGAGTCAATTTCACTCTTTACTTCAAACAACAATTGATCTAACTTTATTTTATTAATTTTTTTTTTCATTATAGATGTTCTGAGCTGTAGCATATCGAGAATATACATGTTTAACAACCATTTCTGGCCGTCCATGTAAAAATAAAGGTATTTATTTTGATATTTGTTTATAATTTGATGAAAGTTTGTAATTTTTTGTCTGGTATTTACTTAAAGTCTGTGGTAAAAACTGTTCTATTATATTCTCTAGTATACTATTTAAAGACTTGTCACTCAGCAGTTTCAAATAAAAACTCTTTAAAATTTTATTTTGAGACTCTACCCCATAATTTGTGGCAACTTTTATGTCATATTCTAATTTAAAAAATGTATTTGTCCATTTTTCTTCAACAGAAAGCCAGGTTCTGATGAATTATTCCTGTGCCTTTGGATTCTTCAGCCATGATTCAGTCAACTTCATTTTCTCAACTTTTTCTGTGAACTCAGCGTCGTCTCTACTATCAGCAATGTTTCTCCAAAGTGCCAAAAGTTCACCTCGAAAATCTTGAACACTAAGATTACCTAGTTTATTTGTCCACCTTAACCAAGCATGTTCGCCATGAAAATCACATAAATAACTTGGACAGTTGAATATTTTGGTAATTGCATTATACTAATAATATTTGCTTCACAATAATCCGTTACAAAATATTGAGGCAACCACGTAACATTCCAAGATTTAATTACTTTTAATACTTCTTCAATAGATTTCGATCTTCGTACTGTAAAAAAAATGATGCTACTACACAATAGTTAACATTGGTTTTTACTACTAGGAGGAATAATGGAAGAGCATATTTTGTGGTTTTATAAGTTGCATCAAGAAAGCAAACACTACCATACCGGTCTAATAAATATTTCTGCCATTGTGTTTGTTGACAAAACATTAATGGTGTAATAACTCCATCTACTTCACTATATGGTTGGAAGTAAAAACTGTCGTTTGGTTGAGATTTTTTCAACTGTTCAATTTTAATCCTAAGTGCGTTCTGATCAATTTTGCTCTGATGTTTTTCATATGTAAATTTTATTATGAAATTTCTTATTGTTCTTTGATCAGGGAAAAATGCTCTTGATAAGTTTGAAGGTGTTGTTGTACATGATCTATCTATAAAATCTTTCAACATGGACTGAACCATTTTAACATTAGAGAATCCATTGTTCGCTAATCGTGATATTACTTTCTGCACAGATTTATCAATGGGTAAGTTTAATAGAGATGTTTCTACTGCATGGTTATGAATGGACGGCAATGAAACAAGTACCAAATATTTGTCGTTCATACTAATTGTTTTCCCTGTATCTATATCATTTTTTAAATTGGTTAGTACCTGCATACAAAATACAAATTTAGTTTACATGTATTCTCATTCATTTTTTTGTTATAATAAACATTAATCTTTAGTACATTGTACCTCTTTTATAATTCTCCATTGAGACAATGAATTCTCTGTAATTTCATACTCTGGGAAATATGTTAATTTTACCATAATCATTACAGCTTTGCAATTATACTTTTTTGTACTATTTAAGTGAAACCTCTTTTTTGTGCTTGTAGGATGATCATCCTATAATATATTTATAAATATTAAATAATAAAATATATAAAGTACTGCCATGTCAAAGATAATTTAAATAATTTGTGCTACTTAAAATATGTCTTGTAAATAAATGTCTAGTATACAAAATATATTACTTACAGTTAAATAATTATGTTTTTTTTTCTGCTGTGGACCGTTTACACATTTGTAATAGATATGCTGTTTTATTAAGAAAGGACAATCAATAAATTTAATAGGTATTTCTCCCCGTTCAAGAGTGAACCGATACTTACAATTTTCTCCAACAGGAATAATTTGAAATAAAAATAATTAAATATAAGAAATTAGTAAATAATTAATAAATTACCTTCATATTTCACAGATTTTTCTACAATAAAACCGTAACCCAACAATAATAAATCTTTCACAAATTTGTCAAAATCATTTGTCTCTCCTTTAATGAGTGTTTCATACTTTCATCATTGTATGTAAAATTAAATAAATTTTCTTTTAAGGTATTAATGAAGTCAATATTATTCATCTTTTTTATTATAAAAATTATTATTAAAACTTATTGTACAATTAATTAAATATTCTCCAATATAGCCAAAGTTAGTACAAAAAATAATAGACACTCAACTATTTAGATCACTTTTACCACATAATTGTTTACTATTAAAACCAGTTTACTTTTTTTTTTTAAATTTATCTCCACTCTGTAACTCTGTGACTGGGAAATACCTTCTTATGAGATTATTTTATATTATATTTTATTTTTATATCAGTAGGTTATAGTCTATAGCCTATACGTAGAATAACTATAAATTATAATTAAAGAGAAAAAACCACAACATGTTAGACATTTTATGTTTTGTATTTTCAATGTAAATAATTATAACATATAAATAATACAGGGTGATTCATTTTTGTTGAAAAAATGAAGTTGACTGAATCATGGCTGAAGTATCCAAAGGCACAGGAATACTTCATCAGAACCTGGCTTTCTGTTGAAGAAAAGTGGACAAATACATTTTTAAATTGGAAAATGACATATGAAATAAACTTTTAAAGAGTTTTTATTTGAAACTGCTGAGTGACAAGTCTTTAAATAGTATATTAAATAATATAATATAACAGTTTTTACCACAGACTTTAAGTAAATATCAGACAAAAAACTATAAATTTTCATAAAATTATAAACAAATATCAAAAGAAATACTTTTATTTTTACATGGACGGCCAGAAACATTTGTTAAACATGTATATTCTCGATATGCTACAGCTCAGAACATATGTAATGAAAAAAAAATATTATTATATTTAACATAGATTATATTTGATGCTATCATATAATGTGATAACATTGATAAAAAAATATGTTAACACTTTGGTGCCGTAATCGACTGTATTTATAACGACCCAAATATGCGCACTGTTATCAGTCGAGCATACTTCTTATTTATTTTACTATGTATATGCCATTATTCAGTAACTTGAACAAGTTCATTTGATAACACGGATTATAATATATTATGTTGTTAGCACTGTAAAAATATTTACCAATTTTATATTATCGTATTTATGCTGTGTTGTTATCATAATTTTTAAGGACTTTTTTTATCAATATTTTATTGTTAATGTTCAAATTATTTGTTATTATTTGTTCCTGCGTCATTAGGTAAGTTTTATTCAATTAAATTACGTAAGATTATGTAACAGGGTCTAAAATAAATCCATGTCTCTTGTATTCAAGTGACCATCAATGGAAATCAATTTCTTTAAAAATCCACCTATGGCCATACTATGGCCATAGCTCGGAACACTACCGTTCCCTTTTATGGTCATACACTCATACTACGGCCATAATTGAGGACATCACTGTTACCTTTAATAACCATATCAGTTACTTATATAAATCAATTAAGAAGAAAGTAAGTAACCAATTTGTTTATTTAGGTTATCAAAATGACACCCAAAATAAAAAAAAATCCAAGAAAACACCCACTACAAAACCAAAACGATTCATGTATTCTCCGTCAAAAGTACAACTAGCATTAAAGGCTGTACATGATGGAATGAGTGAGAACAAAGCTAGTCAGAAGTTTAATGTTCCTAGAACCACCTTAAGAAATAAGTTATCTGGAAAATCACCTGAAGAATCAACTGGTCACAGTGTAGTTACATCAGTATTACGTAAAGAAACAGAACAAATGTTGGTTAAATGGCTCTTATCGTGTAGTCGAATGGGATTTCCAGTAGGTAAGGTTAGCACTTGATGTTGCTGTATTTAGCCCTTTCAAATCAAGATGGAAGAAAATAGTGAAGCAGTGGCGTGTTGACAACGAAAAGGAAGTATCTAAATTGATGTACCAACGGCTCTATCTAAAATTATATATGATAAAGAAATGGCTAGTAATATCAAGTCAGGATTTCATGCAACTGGGACATATCCTTACAATGCAGATAATGTGGATTATACCAAAATATTGTAAGAACTGTACCAGAGCATGACACTTTAATTAATGCCGACATTATGAAGTGTCACCTACAATTTGTAGAATCAAAAATTGATGTTAACCTATTAGATGAATTTAAGAGAACTAAAAGAGGACAATATGAATGGAATGGAAATGAAAAGGCAACAATGTAGTTTACATTGTGGTCACAAATCATGGATGATGTAAACGACTCCGATAATGAGATTACCACAGATATAACAACACCAACATCAACATCAAATCTAAATCTAAATCCAGAAAGGTGGTTGAATATTCAATCAAGTAGTCATGCAGAAGACAACCTAACAGGAGAAAACCCAATCATCCCTAGAGAGAATGCGACTCCAGAGTCTATAGTTATAGTTCCAACCAAACTATCTTTAACTACTGTTTTTAATGATATTATAAAGTGGCCAGTACAACCCGTATCTAAAACAACCAGAAAAAAAGAATATACACCTAGTGTAATAACGTCAGACAAGTGGGTTGAATTCCATGAAATTAAATTGAATGAAAAAAAGAAAAAAAAGAAATTAGCAGCATTTGAAAAAAAAAAAGTTAGAGAGAAAGAAAATAGAAAGGGCACAAATTAAAGCTAGTAAAAATATTAAACAGAAAATCGTTACTGATACTGAAAGCTCTGAATCAGAAAAAAATTGGAATTCAAATATGGATGTTAGTTTCGAAGAACCTTTAGCTCAGCCTTTAAGTTCAGATCAGATTCATCCAGTTTCAAGTGATCAACCAGATTTAAATACTGGTGATTTTATTTTATTAGAATTTGAATCAATTGGAAAAAGGAAACTGAAATACAAATATGTTGCCACAGTAGTTAGTATAATTAGCCGAAGTGAATATGAAGTGCAATGTTTCGAAGCAAACAATGAGGAAAACAGTGAGTTTGTACCTATTGAAAATGATATATCAATAGTTGACTTAACCAACATATTGTACAAATTACCATCTCCAGAACTTCGTCTGCAAAATAGACACCTTATTTCAGTGTTTCCAGGTGTAGTTGATGTGTTTGAAAAAAGTAGATATTAAGACTGAATATGTATTCCTACAGCCTAACCAAAAGTCAACAAATGTGATTTACTTATTACCAGAAAGTTATTTACTTTAATTTGTATTACAATGTTTCATTAAGTTTTACCTACTTATTTTTTATTATAATTTATCTAGTGTTATATATCCTAAGCAGGGATCAGTTTTTATATAATAAGACTGTTGTTATTCTTTTTTTTTTACAATTTTATATGAACTGTATTTTGTTAAATAAGTTGTTTTTGTTGTTTACTATGTTATTATTATATTTTAAATCATAATAAACTGTTTGTGTTTCTCTCATAGTTTTCCGTATTTAATATTTTACTAATATATTAAACATTATTAGTTACTACATTTGGTACTTAGATCATTTTTTTTTTAATAAATAAATTTAAAAAAATATTATGGCCATAATAGGGGAAAATGAGAAATTAAAAATTGAAGTGAAAATTCTTCCTAACTATAACTTACAGAGACTTGAAACTTTAACCAAGTATAAGTCATGTTATAAAGTATACTTGGTTTGAATTTCATGATTTTTCTATGAACTTAACTATAATTAGTACAATATATTCACAAAAAAAAATGCTTAACGTGGCCATACGTGGCGACTCCACATAAAGAAATTATCAAAATTATCTGCCACCTAATTTTTTAAGTTGTATCTTATTAAGATATTATACTACATATAATCTTATGTAAATTTGTTTAAAATAATAACAATAACATTTTTAAAATACTATGCTTTGTTTTCTTGTTGTATGCTTCAAAGCTTCAAATTTCAGTTTTTGTATCAGTCATTCAAGTATAAGTATCATACAATTATATTCAAGACAATACTTGTATTAGTATTATTAATTATAATTGTAATTTGTATTACCTTGGTGGCTATAATTACTATTGGTATTATAAAATTTAAACTAAATTATCTTGTATGGTTTTAGTTGATTTTTATACCAATTTTGCCTTTAAGCGCTAGTTGTCATGCCAAACAGTGAGAAGCGGACGGCCTCGGAAAAACATTGATAAGATCTTTCCGTTCCGTATCCTTCCGTTCTTGTATATCTTAATTCGCGACCTAGACTGACATACCGTCTCTGCTCAGAATCGTTTTTCTTATACAATGATATTATATCATTGAATTCAAATTTAATATCATCCATTATACAGTGACTCACTTGTAACTTACTGTACAGCAGAGCACCTTTTTAAATAAATTTTTTATAAGACTATTGTGTTAACTAAACTGAGAAAAAAATTACAATTAGTATTATGCTTAAAATACGCCAAAACGTTTTCAATTATTTGATATATGAAACTGATTTTGTATTTAAAGCATTTCCGGGGACAATTATAATAATGAAAATAATATTATACCTGGTGGGTTATTTTGTACCAGCCCAGGGGATATAATATATCTAGATATGGTCTGTAAATTTTTTGTATTTTCGAGTTTTTGATAATTTTAAATATTATAATTTACCGCTGTTGGCGGTTCCATGATAACATGATAATAATGCCAAAAAAATGACGACGTGATGCGCGCGCATCGGATGCCAAAATGACATGCTGGCGTGAGACGCTCGTGGAATATGCGATTGAGTTTTTGACGAATTCCGTCGGAGCGCGTTACTAGTAATCAGAATCGAAACCCCTATTCCAGCCAGTGTTGTCAGGTGTAGCGGAATTGCGCTACGCGTAGCTCTTTTTTATTATAATTTATCGTAGCGGCCCTTTCCCGTGAAAAATAAAAACGTAGCGCTATTTCACTTCTTAACTTCAACAATTTTTATTTATTGAAATGTTTAAATTTCAATGATAAAAAAAGATATATTAAAAGAAATTAGTTTCATTAGAAATTACTTTTCTGAAGATGAGAAGACATCAGAAATATTTCCTACAGAAGTTGTTGAATTTTGGATGTACATAAAAAATGTTAAAAACTTCAATGACTGTGCTATTTTTCCTAATTTGTCTGAGTTGGCATAAGTTGTATTAACTCTTCCTCATGGTAATGCTGGCGTAGAAAGGGTATTTTCAATGCTTACTGATATAAAAACTAAAAAAAGAAATCGTCTCAACCCGAATTCTGTAAAAGCTTTGATTAGAACAGAATTAGACATAAAAAACGACAATAAATGCTGCCTTGATTATATTATAACAGAACAGCATTTAAAAAAATTCAACACATTACCAATGCATGTATGACGATAGTGACTCGGATGAAGAAGGTTCTGAGTCAGCTTAAATTGTATTTATTTATTTTGCATTTAATACATTTTTAACTGTTTTAAGAATTATACATCAACTGTTGACTATTGTAAATCGATTATTATTTACACAACAAAATTATCATTTTTATTTGATTATAATTATATTTCAATTTATTGTACTCACGTCTCAAAACATTTATTTTATAATTATTATAACTTTTTATTATAATATATTATATTATTCCATTGACGATTGACCACTTCAATATTGAATTATTTAATATAAAACTTGGAATTATAATTTAAATGACTATAATGAATATGAATTGTTATTATATTTTATTACCCAACTATTAATATTAATATAATCATCATGTTTTTGAAATTTTGGAATTTTTGAAAAGAAATAAGAATTTAAGAATGTAATAAAAAAATCGGTGATAAGTTATAACTAATAATGATAACGAAGTCCGCAATCGTGCAAAACACTATTTCTACATCATCGCGAGCGTGGCGCGCGCGTAGAGCAATTTTCAGCAAACTGTAGCGCTGTCTGTTTTGATTGACCTGACAACACTGACTCCAGCTATCTTCGACATACTATTAGAAGACGGCACACCGGCGATTCAGCAGCGGTTCTCGCTACTTATGTTCGATTGTTATTATTATCTATGGCATAGACAAAGTATTCTTTTTTTGTTATATACTTACGAAAATATTAAATTTAAAATAAATGCGAAAGAAAAATATATGATGTTAAATCAAGGGAAATTTTTACCCCGCTCTACCTAATTTATTTGAATTTTTTTGAAACAATATTGATTTATTATGAATTATCTAAATAAAAAAAAAATAGATTATTATGCTTTAACATGTAGATATGACTGCAGACCGATATAGTCTCTACTTCGCGATTCTAACTCGTCTGACTGTGAATTACGCAAAATTATATATACGCCCGTGCTAAATTTTCCTGTTTTATTAACCTAAGCAAATTCATCGAGTGACGACATAAACGACGAGTCAGTAATCTGTGTATTGTTACAACTGTTATCTCAAAAGCAGTTGAAAGTGTCTTAGTTAACAATGATTTGCAACCAAAAAATGTTGCTTTTAAATCGTATGATTTTGCCAGCAGTATGTCTTACATTATTAACAAAAAATCATGAATAAGCAGCTGAATACTATAATAGATGAGTGATTCCCAATGGGTGGTCCGCTTGTTTTTGTTAGGGGGTCCACTGTTGTGTAATACTGTAGTAATTTTTATTTTTATTTTATTTTAGTGAAATGATGAAATTCGTAGTCATTTTAAATTCCTGGTATTTTTGGTCTATTGAAACCCGATTACGGGGAAAAAGGTAGATAATTAAATTGAATTGTAAGTATTTACAAAAGAAGGGTCCTCGGACCAATTCAAGTTTTAGCTAGGGTTTGCATTAGTATTTGGAATGGACATAGCTAATAACACACATTTTGAAAGAATGTAAAACATTTTCAAGGAGTGAGGACTAAAACATGGACTAAGATAAAAATTGTGTAGCCAAATAAAACCATGAGTAGCGCTGAAATCCTCAAGAACAGTGTTCTTATCAGCTAAGTGCCACCTTTTCGTGGCCGTTCCCCAATCACCGCAGACATTGTGGTTTCCAATCCATAAAAAGTCCCAGTTCCAGTCCTTAATTCTTAGTCATTGAGCGTCGTCACTCGCGAGAAGTCACTCTCGGCCGCCAACGTCTTCAATTATTTACTTTACTCAGGCCTCTGAGCACGCCGCTTTCTACACGTTTGTTCTGGTCACTTCACCTCCCACGTGTGCCAATCGACGCCCGTCGAAGACGAGACAATTATACCTCAACATTATTACACTGGTGAACGTACTACCATATGATGGGCTAACCACAATCTTCCTGGGCCGTTGGTGGCCATCGACTCCAGCCATGTGAGCAGCCACTCTTTTTCGACGACAGATGGGCCATGCCAACCGCGTATGTGTTGGCGGCTTCGTGCCAGCCCATCCAGGCCGTTGAAACATCGAACAGCAAAATAATGGTCGTATTAATTAATTTAATACAACTATTCCCCTGACCTCCCTTCATTATTTATTTTGAAATATGTATTTGTATTTTTACTTAACTTTCTTGAATACGCATCGCAAGCTTAAGGCCTTCAGCCTTAAAATTACATATATAATAAAAAAGAAACATATCTCTTTTAGAGAAATAAAATTATACATAAAATATATCTAATGCCTTGCTCTGGCACGCCTTGTAATGCTTGTAACAATCAAAAAAAAATATAATGTCTTGCGAAGTTCTTAGGTTAAATGT